ATATATATATATAGACACACACACGAAACTTAATATCTACACTTGCATATCACCACTGAAATTTAGCAGAAACACTCGCAGAACTTATGCTGTTCCTCAATCCTATCTAGAGATTCTTTAATCCTAAATAACAAGCAATTTCTCATGTGAAAGACTTTTAATGAGTTTTCTTAATCTCATCAATCCCAATTCTTAGCTCTCACTTTCAATGTTTCATGCCAAACGAGACCTAAAATTCCCCGCCCTGGGGGCCCCTCTTTACTCTTACATGTTGCTTTCCCTCAACTAGCATGCTTAAAGGCCTAATACGATACCAAGAAGAAGAAGCAAAATGTAGTACAGTGTGGCTGTCAAACAGATTAGATGACCAAGATTACATTGAAATATATTTAAATTAAAAAAAAAACTGCAGATTCAAGAAGAGCATGTCATAAAGGAATGGAGTTTCTGAAGCTTGCTTAATGTTTCTCACAAGATGGTAAGGTTGCACTTATTATTCTTAATGATAGCACAGTCAAAGCTAAAATTTTATTATGATGGCTTGTAATAAGAACCAATTCCTGATGCTCATCATTGTTGTAAGATTTGCATTGCACAAATATAATTTCCGCCGTTGAGATTTAAAATTTTTAGCTCATGGTTTTTTAAGTTAAAAAAATATTTCTTGAAAAAATAACATTTAAAAGATTATTTTTATTTTAGATTTTACATTAAGTACTAACATCCTTAATCTGTTCAAATTAATTTATTATGTCTTACATTAAGTACTAGAGGAGTATAAAAAGCTAGTAATTAAGTTTTCTCACAAAGTAAGGAATGTTAGTAAGTCACTAAATTTGTTTCAAATTTATAGAAGTTACCTATTTTACCCTTACTAAAGAATGTGGTTGGAAAATTCTCCTACACCTTTTTTACATTTAAAACTGTCTTGCGTCCTTGTAACAATAGTTAAAAATGGAAAACTATCATTAATTATCTTATCAATCTCTTATATTTTGTACCAAAATTTTCTTCTAACCAAGTTTTTATATTATGGACAACAGTGAATATATATTGAAATGCAGTGTCAAGGAGACACCGCATCAAATTCGCACAGCTTTCATCATCAGAATAACAGCCTTCCCAAAATGACTCGGCTTCTATGCTAATTTTGGGGACCACTTGGCTTTTATTAACTAATCGTTACTATTTTTGTACTAATTCTCATTCTATAATTTTAAATAACAGTGATTAAAAGGCAAATGATCTCAAATACTCGTAAAACTTAAAATTAATTCTCCATATTAATACAAACTCAAATAGTTATGAAAAAGTAAAGTATATGTGCATTGAATAAGAATATTACTGAAAAAAATTATTATTTTTAATAAATTTAATGAATTAATTTTATTTAATTTCTTTCCTTTTATCCATATACATGTGAGTATGACAGGATTGCAAGTGAAGGCTTTAGCATATTAACTTGGTGAATGGTGATTGAGAATGATCATTGAATTCCAATAATGCGGCCCCGACAACCCGTTTTCTTTGTCATTGAAGATATTTTGAATCTCTCTCTCCCTCCCCCCCTCTCTTGTTTGAAGATATGTTATTGCCTTGTATAATGATTAGAGAGATAGTGGTTAATGATAGTGTTGGGTGAGGGGCAATACTGAAAAACGATTCAATTTTAAGAACAATTTATTGCTTCAACTCATCTTGATTCTGGTGAATTAATTAGAAGCTTGGATATATTGTATATGTGAGCGAGGGGGTGGGGGGACTTCTGGAAAGGAAAAGCAAAAGTTACAAAATTCTAATTAAAAGGTTCTATAAACAAACAAAAAGAATTGCAAAGCCATATGAGTTTAAACATGAAATTAGAAGAACCAATTGACAAGCGCCCTGTATCAATCAACCACAATGATAAAGAAAAAGCATAAGCACGTTTTTTGGGTTGTTACAGGAAAGAAGCTTTCAACTTTCGTCCCATTTACATATCAAACAATTGGCTCCACACTTTCCAAGGCGATGCTTTAAGTTAATAATTTTGAAAAGTGTAAATTCATCATACAACAAAGAGATTAGGAAATTCGTTCAAGTTTTTATCCCCTGGTTGAAAATTTCAACCAAAACATGATCACTGGAGAGATATCATTAGGATTATACATAAAAAATGTCAGCCAACTTCTCCTTTGCCAAAGAAATATATTTTCATAAATTGATGAACTTTTCCTGGATCTTGCTACTCTTTCTTTATCTTTGTAAACTTTAACAAGCTTGACTGATATTAAAAACGTCCCATATGCATTTCAAATACTGATTCAATTGTGCCGAACTCACATTTTATGTTTGTGTTCATTGCACTTGCTTTGGACATCTTTGACTTGTTGATAATGGAACTTTTTGAATTCTTTCTTATTTTTTAGAACAGCAAAAAAGTTACTACATTTTTTAAAGGAAAAATCTTCATATAATATTAAAAAGAAGTTGCAAAGTTATGCTTTTTGCTATCAAATTAAAAGAACCAACGTATAAACGCACTATATATCGTTTAGCCACACAATAATGATGATAACTTAATGACTCTCTGCTCCTGCATTCATTTGATTATCAGTTGCATTAAGTAAATTTGTGTAAATAGGATCAATTGAAAAAATAATTATAAATTTGTAAAACAAAATAAATTATGGTCTTATATTTAGAATTAAAACAAACATTTTAACTCTTATATTTAGCATCGAATGTACTCCCTCCGGTTGATAATATAAGACATTTCTAACTAATTCACATGTATCAATAAAAATGGTTTAAAGCATTAAATTTGTCATAAAATTTAGATGATTCCTAATATTAATTCACATGTATTAACTACACTAAATCGTAACATTATTTTAATTTTTACTCTATCTCTCTCACTATCCTTTTTAAATATTGGCATATATGAAAAATATCTAATGTTTATTGAAACTATCCTAGCGCCTTATCAAATAGACCGAAAATACCTGGTAGAAGACTTTATAATATGAACAAGAATATTTGTACGCTAACAAGATTTTAATTTTTCTTTTTCAACCTAAGAACAAATACACTATGTAACTTTTTCAAGTCTTTATTAACTTATATATTGAAAGACAAATCAAAAGTTACTAAAATTTAAAAGTGGTAAAAAAAGCTTATATGAACGTTAAAAAAGAAGTTATGCAAGCTATATGGTTTTTAATATGAAATTAAAAGAACCAAAAGATAAGCGCCGTGTATCAATCAACCGCAATGATATAAAAAGCACAAACACATTGTTTTGGTTGTTATGGAATAGTTTCTTTCAACTTTCACCCTGTTTATATATTAAAAAATCTCAGTGATAACACAATAGCTTGCAATAATAAGTTCTATAATAGTAGATGATAACTGCTCACTTCTTATTCAGACTTATTGTTAACTGTTAATTATTCTCTTTCTTTGGAACCTCACTATAATTCTCCCAGATTTTTAAGAATAAAATACGCTACTTTTTTGGTAAGGAGAAAGAGATGATGCAAAAATAATCTGATTTAGTACGATTTTTAAGTAAATAGATACTTAAGTACTTAAGCTAGCTACCTTATTTCCGTTAAAACAAACGGAAACAATAAAATACTACCTCTCATCCTTAATAGTTAGTTGATTAATTTTAGTAAATTGATGAAGTTTATTAAGTTAGTTATTTGTAGTAAATAAGTATTGCTTTTCTTAAAATATCCTTACTAATTATATATATACGAAATAAATACGTGAGAAGAGTATTATATCAACTTGCATAAAAACACTTTTTTCGATAAACCAAACATCCTCAAAGAAAAAAAGCGCAAATGCGTTTATTTCTTTTTACTGCTATTTTTTATTATGAGAAATAAACTTGCTTAGCCTTCCTTATTAGAATAACAACCTTCCTAAATCGGCTTCCATGCTAATTTTTGATCACTTTCAATCTTTCATTAACTAATGATGATGAATAGTTGTATTAATTGTCATTCTATAATTTTAAATAACAGTAATTACGATTCGAATTATTTCAAATACTGTTTTTTATCAGGCAAACTTGTATCTTTGATCCTTTGAATTTACTTAAAATTTTATTTTGAAAACACATTATCACATGCTCATGTATCACGTTTAATTTTAAAGAACAACAATGGTTGCCACAAAAAAAAATCATTTAAGGTTGATTGTGTTAGGGTTATGAGACTAAAAAAGTACTTTACAAAATTAAGGGACCAAACTAAAATTTTTCATAAAGTTAAAAGATAAAAAATATACTTTTATCTTTATATTAATTAGTAGTATTTTTTCCTCTTTTTGCCAACTAATTAATTAGTATTTCAATTAAATAGTAATGTTAAATTTTATTCTAATCTAAGTTATTTAAGCTCTCTTAACCCGTACGCGTAAATCTTAAATGATAAATATCATAAAAAATTAATGATTATGCTTTGTTTATCTCATATAGCCCAGGGCCTCAAAATATTATTTTTATTCTTTAATCTTTCCTATCCCAAAATATAATCTTTCCAATTTAGTCTTGCTTGAAAATATATAGTTCCTTGGAAATGTAAAGCATCGATATCTTTAAATTTAATAAGAACAATGCGGGAAAGTATTATTATTTTTTTTTAGTAAATTTATGAGTTAACTTTCATTTTGCTTCTTTATTTCTCTTTATCTATATGCACGTAATGAGTAAACCGACAGGGGAGAACAAGTAAGGAAAACTTTAATATTGACGTGGGCAGTTGAGAATATAATGACAATTTCATCCCAATAAGGCGGCCCCGCGTATGTGCAACGCGTTTTCTTTGTCTTTATTTATTTATTTTGCCAACGGTTTTCTCTGTCTTTTTTATGGCGTCATTGGACGACATTGATTTGTAAACAATACTTCCTGAGCCATCGTGGTTAAGCTTTTGTCTATATAAAGACTCTATGATGGGTGCATTCATTATTGTGTGATCACCACTTTGTGCAAACGTAATTAAAGGAAGATGGGTGTGATGATACTGGTATTGTTACTATGCTTTGCTATAGCTTGCTCCCAACAGATTGATATGATAGAAGAGGAGAAACGAGCTCTGTTTCAGACCAAATGGTGGGATTTTAGCAATAACTTCTCGGATGACTCTTGTAACTGGGAAGGCATATATTGCAATGAATTTGGAAGTGTTATTGAGATGAGTCAACCAATGATCACTCCAAAGGACCCTCGACTAGTAGATCTAAACCTCACAGCATTTCCCAACCTACAACATTTGGGTCTTCGTGAAATGGGTTTGATAGGCGCTATTCCAACTCAGATAGCAACTCTTCATTATCTTAGGCATTTGTCCTTGTTTCATAATAATCTTACTGGTAAGTCATATAGCTTCTGCTTTCACTCTTACCTTGCAAAACTCAGTCGATTTTAAAATGTCATATTTACTTCCATAGAATCTAATACATCTATTGACAAGTACTATTCCAACGTAAATAGGAGTCTTTTAAAATCTCAACATTATTTTTTTCAAAACAATCTTGCTAGTAAATTAATTAACATTTACTCTTACTAAAACTCACTCATATACTGGCAAGTTAACATCTATTCTAGCTTCTGCCGGTGACTTCTTATGCATCAGTTGGATTGGGAGAACTATGTTTGTGAACTTTGGTTATCCAGTTTTTAAAATATTGATGATCTATCACTTCGTTTTTTTCTGGAATTTCAGAAAAATACAAAATAGGAGGAGGCAAAATTAATAGAAGAGACTGAAAACCAAGCTAATTTTTTGTAGCTAAGTTATCGGGTTTTGCATGTCCCAAATGTTTGCTCACAATTTTTTCGGGACACTTGTAATAGGAACCAGTTTAAATGATTATTACAGGGATGATCATCACTATGCTTATCACTGCAATATATCATGAACAATTATAGTTTCAACTATTTAAATTTATAATTTTTAACCAATAATTTTTAAGTAAGTAAAAAAAAATATTTTCTTGAAAATGTGAATAATTAAGATATTATTTATATTTTAAATTTCTGCACAGATGAAAATATAAAATTATTTAAAACATAAAAAATGAAATTATATTAAATCTAGATTGTTCAATTTTATTTTGGGTAGTCCACATTCCACTATAAAAAAAAATTGACTTTCGGCGGCAATGATGTGAAAAGTCAAAAAGTCGCCGCTGAAGATTTTCAACAGTGACTTTTTGTTACCATCAAGTCGTTGTGGTAGCAACTGTTGCTAATATAATAGGCAGTGACAAAATAAGTCGCTGCTGAAGTGTCCTTTCAGCAGCCACATTCAGTGCCTTCAACGGCAACCCTATATGTCACTGTTAAATCATACTTTTAGAGGTGACAAATATCACTGCCAAAAAAGGAATAAAAAATAATAGCACGTCATCACCCACCAGCAGCCACACCAATACTATTTATAATAAATATTTATTAATATATATTTGATATAAATATATAAAATTATTGTATAAATATGTTAAATTATACATATCTTAACATATACTTTAATATTAATGTATATTATAAAAATAACGTAAATACATATTAATATTATAACTTATATTTTAATATATATATTTATGAACTATTCTAATATTCTTCTTAAATAAATTAAAGTATTTATATAGTGAACGAAATATAATGAATTTAATAAATTTTTTATTTATAGTCAGTTTATAATATTACTTAATATATTAATTAAAAATAAAAAGTATTATATAAAAATAAAAAATGTCATTTACAGATTACGTCATGCATTTTTTTTCATTGCTTGAAAAATTTATTTTTCATCTAAATTAATTATATAATTTTTGGCAAATTTGTTGGTAAATTTTTACGTATATTTTCGGCTTTTATATTTTTATTCATTAACTATTAATTTATTAGAAATTGTAGAATAAATGTATGATTTATATTGATATTTTCAGATAATATTAAATAATTATATAATATCATATTAATATATTTAATATATTTTTTAGACAAGAATGTGATTATATCTAATCTATCTATAAGGATATCTTGATTAAGGTGCGAAGAAAAATATCCCATGTGGCTTGATAAATTTATCAAACTTTTATAGGCTTAATTATATGATTTATATTTATTATCCATCTCTTCACCTCCCCTACACATGAAACAAAATATAAATATCATTTATGTCTTCATTTCTTCAGTGGTGACAAGTCGTTCTGAAAGTCTCTTTCAGCGGCGACTTTGTTTTGTTGCTGCTAAAACTAGTAAGTTTTGGCGGTGATATCTACCGTCACCGCTACAAGTGAAAACATTTACTGATGACACAAAAAATAGCTGTAGAAGCTCAATTTTTGCCAGAGACTTGTCTGACTTTCCGTGGCAACATCTTGTGTCAATATTGAAAACTCACCTGTTTTCAAGTCAGCCGTGGCTAGCATATTTCAATTTCACTGCATTTACCAATTTTACAGAATTGGATCTTGGAGAAATAGGATTGATAGGTATGATTCGAATTCAAATAGGACCTTAGAAAATAAGGAAATCAAACTTGCAATACATACATTAGCTTGCAGTACAATTCTAGCTCTTTCCCACACTATATTTCTAATGGTAATGTAGAAATACTTGGAAAAGAGGAGATCAACAATTGTTCTACAATTCCTTTATTTGATAAGAAATAAACTATAATACATTTGCAACTCAAACTATTGGTCATCACAGGTACCATGCCAACTCCAATTGGAACTCTTCATAGTCTTCTCGCTTTGGACTTGTCTAATAACAATCTTATTGGTGAATTATGCACATTTCACTCTCATCTTACAAATTTGCTCAATTTAGAGTTTTATTTGCCTCTAAAACTTAATAAAGCAAATTAACCCACAATTACTATTTGATAAGAAATAAACTACAATATATTTGCAACTCAAATTATTCGCTTTGACAGGTACCATTCCAACTCAAATTGGAGCTCTCCATAATCTTAACCATTTGGACTTGTCTAACAACAATCTTCTGGGTGAGTTATGAACCCTTCACTCTCATCTTGCAAATTTGCTCAATTTAGAGTTTTATTTGCCTCTATAACTTAATAGAGCAAATTAACCGTCAATTTTTATTTGATAAAAAATAAACCACAACACATTTGCAACTCCAATTATTGGCTTCGATAGGTACCATTCCAACTCAAATTGGAGCTCTTCATAATCTTACCCATTTGGACTTGTCTAACAACAATCTTAATGGTGAGTTATGTACCTTTCACTCTCATCTTGCAAATTTGCTCAATTTAGAGTTTTATTTCCCTCTATAACTTAATAGAGCAAATTAACCAACAATTTTTATTTGACAAGAAATAAACTACATCACATTTGCAACTCAAATTATTGGCCTTGACAGGTACCATTCCAACTCAAATTGGGGCTCTTCATTATCTTACCAATTTGGACTTGTCTACCAACAATTTTGATGGTGAGTTATGCACCTTTCACTCTCATGTTACGAATTTCCTCAATTTAGAGTTTTATTTGCCTCTATAACTTAATAGAGTAAATTAACCCTCAATTTTTATTTGATAAAAAATAAACCACCACACATTTGCAACTCCAATTATTGGCTTCGATAGGTACCATTCCAACTCAAATTGGAGCTCTTCATAATCTTACCCATTTGGACTTGTCTAACAACAATCTTAATGGTGAGTTATGTACCTTTCACTCTCATCTTGCAAATTTGCTCAATTTAGAGTTTTATTTCCCTCTATAACTTAATAGAGCAAATTAACCAACAATTTTTATTTGACAAGAAATAAACTACATCACATTTGCAACTCAAATTATTGGCCTTGACAGGTACCATTCCAACTCAAATTGGGGCTCTTCATTATCTTACCAATTTGGACTTGTCTACCAATAATTTTGATGGTGAGTTATGCACCTTTCACTCTCATGTTACGAATTTCCTCAATTTAGAGTTTTATTTGCCTCTATAACTTAATAGAGTAAATTAACCCTCAATTTTTATTTGATAAAAAATAAACCACCACACATTTGCAACTCCAATTATTGGCTTCGATAGGTACCATTGCAACTCAAATTGGAGCTCTTCATAATCTTACCCATTTGGACTTGTCTAACAACAATCTTAATGGTGAGTTATGTACCTTTCACTCTCATCTTGCAAATTTGCTCAATTTAGAGTTTTATTTCCCTCTATAACTTAATAGAGCAAATTAACCAACAATTTTTATTTGACAAGAAATAAACTATACGACATTTGCAACTCAAATTATTGGGCTTGACAGGTACCATTCCAACTCAAATTGGGGCTCTTCATTATCTTACCAATTTGGACTTGTCTACCAATAATTTTGATGGTGAGTTATGCACCTTTCACTCTCATGTTACGAATTTCCTCAATTTAGAGTTTTATTTGCCTCTATAACTTAATAGAGTAAATTAACCCTCAATTTTTATTTGATAAAAAATAAACCACCACACATTTGCAACTACAATTATTGGCTTCGATAGGTACCATTGCAACTCAAATTGGAGCTCTTCATAATCTTACCCATTTGGACTTGTCTAACAACAATCTTAATGGTGAGTTATGTACCTTTCACTCTCATCTTGCAAATTTGCTCAATTTAGAGTTTTATTTCCCTCTATAACTTAATAGAGCAAATTAACCAACAATTTTTATTTGACAAGAAATAAACTATACGACATTTGCAACTCAAATTATTGGGCTTGACAGGTACCATTCCAACTCAAATTGGAGCTCTTCATTATCTTACCAATTTGGACTTGTCTACCAACAATCTTGTTGGTGAGTTATGCACCCTTCACTCTCATCTAGCCAATATGCTCAATTTAGAGTTTTATTTCCCTCTATAACTTAATAGAGCAAATCAACCCTCAATTTTTAGTTGATAAGAAAAAAACTACAGTACATTTGCAACTCAAATTATTGGCTTTGACAGGTACCATTCCAACTCAAATTGGAGCTCTTCATAATCTTACCCATTTGGACTTCTCTAACAACAATCTTGATGGTGAGTTGTGCACCTTTCACTCTCATTATGCAAATTTACTCAATTTAGAGTTTTATTTGCCTTTATAACTTAATAGAACAAATTAACCCACAATTTTTATTTGACAAGAAATAAACTATACAACATTTGCAACTCAAATTATTGGGCTTGACAGGTACCATTCCAACTCAAATTGGAGCTCTTCATTATCTTACCAATTTGGACTTGTCTACCAACAATCTTGTTGGTGAGTTATGCACCTTTCACTCTCATCTAGCCAATATGCTCAATTTAAAGTTTTATTTGCCTCTATAACTTAATAGAGCAAATTGACCCTCAAGTTTTACTTGATAAGAAAAAAACTACAGTACATTTGTAACTCAAATTATTGGCTTTGACAGGTACCATTCCAACTCAAATTGGAGCTCTTCATAATCTTACCCATTTGGACTTCTCTAACAACAATCTTGATGGTGAGTCGTGCACCTTTCACTCTTATCATGAAAATTTACTCAATTTAGAGTTTTATTTGCCTCTATAACTTAATAGAGCAATTTAACTCTTAATTTTTACTTTATAAAAAAAAACCTATGAGACATTTGCAGCTCAAATTATTAGCTTGGACAAGTATCATTTCGACTCAAATTAGAGCTGTTGATAACCTTATTCATTTGGACTTGTCTAAAAACAATCTTATTGGTGACTTACGCACCCTTCACTCTCATCTTGCAAATTTGCTCAATTTAGAGTCTTATTTGCCTCTATAACTCAATAGAGCAAATTAACTCTCAATTTTTATTTGATAAGAAATAAATTAAAACACATTTGTGACTCAAATTATTGGCTTTAACAGGCACCATTCCAACCCAATTTGGAGCTCTTCATAATCTTACCCATTTGCACTTGTCTCATAACAATCTTTATGGTGAGTTATGCACCTTTCACTTTCGTCTCGCAAATTTGCTCAATTTAGAGTTTTATTTACCTCTATAACTTAATATAGCAAATTGTCGTACAATTTTTAGTTGATAAGAAATAAACCACAACACATTTACAAGTCAAATTATTGGTTTTGACAGGTACCATTCCAACTCAAGTTGGAGCTCTTCATAATCTTACCCATTTGGACTTCTCTAACAACAATCTTAATGGTGAGTTATGCAACTTTCACTCTCGTCTTGCAAATTTGCTCAATTTAGAGTTTTATTTGCCTCTATAACTTAATAGAGCAAATTAACCCTCAATTTTTATTTGATAAGAAATAAACTACGACACAATTGCAACTCAAATTATTGGCTTTGATAGGCACCATTCCAACTCAAATTGGAGCTCTTCATAATCTTATCCTTTTGCACTTGTCTAACAATAATCTTCTTGGTGAGTTATGCACCTTTCACTCTCATCTTGCAAATTTGCTCAATTTAGAGTTTTATTTGCCTCTATAACCTAATAGAGCAAATTAACCCTCAATTTTTATTTGATAAGAAATAAACTACGACACATTTGTAACTCAAATTATTGGCTTTGATAGGCACCATTCCAACTCAAATTGGAGCTCTTTATAATCTTATCCTTTTAGACTTGTCTAACAATAATCTTATTGGTGAGTTATGCACCTTTCACTCTCATTTTGCACATTTGGTCAATTTAGAGTTTCTTTGCCTTAATGACTTAATACAGTAAATTAACCCACAATTTTCATTTGATAAGAAATAAACTACAACACATTTGCTTTGACAGGTGCCATTCCAACTCAAATTGGAGCTTTTCATAATCTTGCCTATTTATACTTGTCTAGCAACAATCTTTTTGGTGAGTGATACACCTTTGGCTCTTATCTTGCAAATTTGCTCAATTTAGAGTTTTATTTACCTCTATAACTTGATAGAGCAAAATAAGCCTCAATTTTTATTTGATAAGAAATAAAATAAAATGCATTTGCAACTCAAATTATTGGTTTTGACAGGCACCATTCCAACTCAATTTGGAGCTCTTCATAATCTTACCCATTTGGACTTGTCCCGTAACAATCTTAGTGGTGAGTTATGCACCTTTCACTTTCTTCTTGCAAATTTGCTCAATTTAGATTTTTATTTACCACTATAACTTAATACAGCAAATTGTCGTACAAGTTTTAGTTGATAAGAAATAAACCACAACACATTTACAAGTCAAATTATTGGCTTTGACAGGTACCATTCCAACTCAAATTGGAGCTCTTCATAATCTTACCCATTTGGACTTGTTTAACAACAATCTTAATGGTGAGTTATACACCTTTCACTCTCGTCTTGCAAATTTGCTCAATTTAGAGTTTTATTTGTCTCTATAACTTAATAGAGCAAATTAAACCCTCATTTTTTTTTTGATAAGAAATAAATTACGACACATTTACAACTCAAAGTATTGGCCTTGACAGGTACCATTCCAACTCAAATTGGAGCTCTTCATAATCTTACCCATTTGGACTTGTCTAACAACAATCTTGTTGGTGAGTTATGCACCTTTCACTCTCATCTTGCAAATTTGCTCAATTTAGAGTTTTATTTGCCTCTATAACCTAATAGAGCAAATTAACCCTCAATTTTTATTTGATAAGAAATAAACTACGACACATTTGTAACTCAAATTATTGGCCTTGATAGGCACCATTCCAACTCAAATTGGAGCTCTTTATAATCTTGTCCTTTTGGACTTGTCTAACAATAATCTTATTGGTGAGTTATGCACCTTTCACTCTCATTTTGCACATTTGGTCAATTTAGAGTTTCTTTGCCTCTATGACTTAATACAGTAAATTAAGCCACAATTGTTATTTGATAAGAAATAAACTACAACATATTTGCTTTGACAGGTGCGATTCCAACTCAAATTGGAGCTCTCCATAATCTTGCCTATTTATACTTGTCTAACAACAATCTTTTTGGTTTGTGATACACCTTTGGCTCTTATCTTGCAAATTTGCTCAATTTAGAGTTTTATTTACCTCTATAACTTGATAGAGCAAATTAATCTTCAATTTTTATTTGAGAAGAAATAAACTACAACACATTTGCAACTCAAATTATTGGCTTTGATAGGTACCATTCCAACTCAAATTGGAGCTCTTCATATTCTTGTCTATTTGGGCTTGTCTAACAATAATCTTACTGGTGAGTTATGCACCTTTCACTCTCGTTTTGCAAATTTGATCAATTTAGAGTTTTATTTCCCTCTATAACTTAAGTGACCAAATTAACCTTCAATTTTTGTTTGATGAGAAATAAACTACAACGCATTTGCAACTCAAATTATTGGCCTTGACAGGTACCATTCCTACTCAAATTGGAGCTCTTCATAATCTTAACAATTTGGACTTGTCTAACAACAATCTTGTTGGTGAGTTATGCACCTTTCACTCTCATCTTACAAATTTGCTCAATTTAGAGTTTTATTTCCCTCTATAACTTAATAGAGCAAATTAACCCTCAATTTTTATTTGATAAGAAATAAACTGCAATACATTTGCAACTCAAATTATTGGCTTTGATAGGTATCATTCCAACTCAAATTGGAGCTCTTCTTACTCTTACCCATTTGAACTTGTCTAACAACAGTCTTTTTGGTTAGTTATGCACCTTTCACTCTCATCTTGCAAATTTGCTCAATTTAGAGTTTTATTTCCCTCTATACTTAATAGAGCAAATTAACCCTCAATTTTTATTTGATAAGAAATAAACTACAACATATTTGCAACTCAAATTATTAGCTTTGACAGGCACCATTCCAACTCAAATTGGAGCTCTTGATTATCTTGCCCATTTAGACTTATCTAACAATAATCTTATTGGTGAGTTATGCACCTTTCACTCTCGTTTTGTAAATTTGCTCAATTTAGAGTTTTATTTCCCTCTATAACTTAAGTTACCAAATTAAACCTCAATTTTTGTTTAATGAGAAATAAACTACAACACATTTGCAACCCAAATTATTGGCTTTGACATGTATCATTCCAATTCAAATTGGAGGTCTTCATAATCTTATCGATTTGAACTTGTCTAACAACAGCCTTATTGGTGAGTGATACATCTTTCACTCTCATCTAGCAAATTTTCTCAATTTTAAGTTTTATTTGCCTCTATAACTTAATTCAGCGAATTAGCTCTTAGTTTTTAGTTGATAAGAAATAAGCTCTAATACTTTTACAACTCAAATAACTGGCTTTGACAGGTACCATTCCAACTGAAATTGGAGCTCTTGCAAATCTCATTTATCTAAACTTTTCTTACAACAATATTATCGGTGAGTTATGTACCTTCTACCCTCATATCTCAAATTTACTCAATTTAGATTTGAAATAGCCTACAAGACATTTACAATTCAATTGGCCAGTAAAATTATTATAAGACACAGGCAATGCTAATTAGCTCATCTGCCTACAAAATTCAATTAAAAAAAATTTAAGGTAGATGTTATAAGACACAACCAATGCAAATTAATTCATCTTTCTAGAAAATTCAATAAAAAAAAGTTGCAGTAGATGAATAAGGATAACTCATAGACATGATGCTGCGCTTCTATCAAGAACTGGTGAGCATATTTTTTCGTTGTTCCCCCACCACTTTCCTACCCCACAATTATTCAACCCTGTATACTTCTTATCAGTGAAAGAAATAAAGGAAATAGAATTGGCATAGATAGAATAACTCCCACCCCAATCTCATTATTCCCATGGTGTTAGTATTATATATATGAGTATAACAACACATGGTTGGTTAAAATGTGAGGTCCAGTTAAGGAGTCTTGTAACAAGAAAATTCAAATAAATTTATGTTTAGCAACAAATATAAGTTAATTGTAATGTAAACCTACACTATCTATTAAACCTTTCAGGTAGAGTTGTTCTTCTAACAATTTAATTTGCAACACATTTGCAATTCAACTAGCCAGTAAAATTATTATATGACGCAAGCAATGCTAATTAGTTCATCTTCCTAGAAAAGTCAATTAAAAAAAATAAAGCTAGAGTTGATGAATAAGGATACCTTGTAAACATGATCCACACTTCTTTCAAGAACTAGTGACCACATTCTTTCATTGTTCCACCCTCCCCCCCACTTTCCTACCCCACAATTATTCAACCCTGTATACTTTTTGTTAGTAAAAGGAATAAAGAAAATAATATTCGCATGGATAGAATAACTCCCACCCCACTCATATCATTCCCATCGTATTAGTATGATATATGTGATGAGTATAAAAACACACGGTTGGGTAACATGTGAGGTCTAGTTAAGTAGTCTTGTAACAAGAAAATTCAGATAAATTTATGTTTAGCAACAAATAAAAGTTAATTGTAATGTAAACTTGCATTGTCTATTAAACCTTTCAAATAGAGTTGTTCTTCTAACAATGGAATTTGTTATTGTAATAGACATTAATAAACTGGGCAGTGTTGGCAAAACTGGCCCAAGAGTGGGGTCTATTGGTCTCAAACGAAAATTATTATCTCTAAATCTTCTAAATGGAATGAAGTGATTGGCAGAATTTTGATATGGTAGCCCTTAGTAACTACTAGAAATAAACAAAATCTCACACTAACACTATACAAAAAAAAACGGGAGAATAACAATGAGGTTTCAAAGAAAGGAAAAAAATATATAAAATAAGTCCCAAAGATTGTCATTCTCTACTTTAAAACTTGTCATTACAGGTTACTTAAGTTGTTATTGGGATATTTTTAATAATTATTTTTCTTCCTTGGCACTTTATTGTAATTCTCTCTAAAAAAATCTTTTAAGGGGCTTAAAAAGGATTTTTCATAACGATTTTAGAGGCAAAGTAATTACTGTCGATGTAAAAAACTGAGAATTTCATAGCGATTCTTAACCACCGTGGAAAGACACTTTCCAAGCAATTTTTAGGAAATAATCGCCATGAAAAAGCTTCAATAAATAGCATTGAAGAACTTAGTATCCACGATGGTTATTTTATTAACTGCTGTAAAAGGTCAAAAAAAATTTTATATAAATTTGTTTTAATTTGTATATAACTTCCTTGTAATACCGAAACAAAATACACCAATTCCATCTAGCAGAATAGACCAAAACAATATAAAACCAATTCAAAGCTAAAACGCAATTTTTAGTAAACTCAAATTCAACTAAAATTCAATGAATTCAATACTAAAACTCAAATGTAACTCTAGGATAACTAAAGTTTCCAATTCTAATTCATCTAAACCTAATGGTCAATAACTTAACCAATCTATAGTTCAATTAAATGTAATAGACAATCAACTAAAAAACCTATATTCAATTATTAATACTGAAATTTTGAACTTCAACTACACTAAATGTTTATAAACCTATAATCTTAACTAATATTCTTGACAAATCATCCCTCATTGAGTTGATATTGTCTAGTTCATATTCCACCCTATCTCAAAATGCTTGTAAATTGAAAAGAACAAAGTCAACCAACCAACTAGCTAAGAAAAGAGGCAAATCGCAACAATTATAACCAACAAAACAACAACAACAATCTTAAACCAGTAAATAAAAATTTTTCTACGTAAAAGTTCTGAATCTAAAATAAAAACCCCAATGATATTCGTTTGCCATGAAATTTTATGCAAAATTTCATCATCAATCGAAATTGGTAACTAAAAAAATTTTTGGCCAAACATTCAATAGATTAATGATAAAAATTTATCAATTTGTCCTACAATAATCTTATGTGCTTGTTATCTTCCAGTCTTGCCCCATTGGATCTTTATTTTGATTAGAAGTAACCTAAAACACATTTGCAACTCAAAGGAATGTGTTTTGACAGGTAGTATTCCAGTGCAGCTAGAAGTTCTTCCATATCTCGAATATCTAAACTTGTCTTATAACCATTTTAGTTCAAGTGAGTTACATCTCACCCTATCCCGAACTTAAAAAAGATTGAGAAATAATATGTTCAAGACACATTTTAAAGGATTAAAATACTTAGCATGTTTTAAGTGAAAAAAGTCTTAGTATCAAGAAGTCATTTTTAAGTTTTATGATATTAACAATTCAAATAAAACTAGGTGTTCTATAAATTAACCACAATAATATAATAAAGGACAAGCATGAACAAACTTTTGGTTTTAAGGGGAGATGTGTTGAAGACACATGACTAGTAAATAGTGCCATTATTTTGTTCACTAATGCTAAAGCTCTGTGATGATCACAGAGGAGAAGGATGCACTACTTAAGAGCAAATGGTGGAACATCAAAGATAATGGCTCAAACTATTATTGTGACTGGCATGGCATATCTTGCAATAGCTTTGAAAATGTAATTTCAATTGACCAATCAAGAATCCATTCACAGCAACCTTGGCTAGTAGATCTCAACTTCATTACATTTCCAAAACTAAAATATTTGAATCTTTCTAGAATGGGAATAATAGGTACCACTCTAATTAAAATCCTAGCTCTTTGTTCATTCATCCAATATTTACATTTGTCTTCCAGTAATCTTACTTACCTTCCACCCTTGCTCAATTTGAATAAATGCAATCTATCTAGAGTCATTCCTTTATAACAAAAACTAAAGACTTGTGCATAAATTTATTTACTGCAGGTGATATCCCTTCTTTCATTTTCAATTTGACAAATCTAGAAGAGTTTGATGTTTCTCAAAATCAACTAATTGGTGGCATACCAATAAAGTTTGAATATTTATATTCTCTTTCTCTTCTAAATGTCTCCCAAAACAAGCTGAGTGGAATTGTGCCTTACTTTAGGAACAGGTTCGATGTTGAATTTCATGTTGACTTTAGTCACAACAAAATCAATAGACTATTACCATATGGGATATGCACTTTTCCATCAAAATGTAGCATTGATTTGAGCTACAATAATATCTCTGGTAATATACCTAAAGAGCTTAGTGAGCTGCTCTACATCAACTTGTCATACAATCATCTCAGCGGCTATGTCCCTAGTGAAGTTTATAGCTCTTTTCCTCATGACATTTTAAATGGTAATAAAGAACTACTTGGTCTAGAGAAGATATATGATTCTTCTAAAGATTCAAAGTCTTTGATGAAAATCATTATTCCTTTGACAATTTTTGTTGTCATCATATTTGTTGGGGGTTTCATCTGGTTTCATTTTTTCAAAAAGAGCAAGAAATTCATAATTGAGACAAGAGAAACAAAAAATGGAGATTTGTTTTCCATATGGAATTATGATGGAAAAATTGCATATGAAAATATTATAGAAGCAACAGAGGACTTTGACATCAAATATTGTATTGGAACCGGTTCCTATGGAAGTGTTTATAGAGCACAACTTCCTAGTGGCAAAATTGTAGCATTAAAAAAACTCCATAGAAGAGAATATGGAAACACATCTTTTGCCAAGAGTTTTCACAATGAAGTGAAGATGTTGACTGAAATTCGACATCGCAATATTATAAAGCTTCATGGTTTTTGCATACATAATCAGTGCATGTTTCTCATCTATGAATACATGGAAAGAGGAAGCCTTTTTTATGTGTTGAATAATGATGACGAAGCTAAAGAGTTGGATTGGAGTAAGAGAGTGAATGCCATCAAAGGAATAGCAAATGCTTTGTTCTACATGCATCATGATTGCATTCCTCCAATTATCCATCGAGACATAACAAGTAGTAATATATTGTTCAACTCAAAGATGGAGGCTTTTCTATCTGACTTTGGCACAGCTAGAATCATTGATTCAGATACATCTAATCAAACTCTTCTAGTTGGTACTTATGGTTATGTTGCTCCAGGTCAGCTTTCTTGATTTCTTTGCTACTTATCTTGTTGTGTTGTATTTTACAATTATTTATCTTTTAATAAATATTTATTTAACTTTTAGTTCCTTGCAGAGCTTGCATACACCTTGACTGTGACTGAAAAATGTGATGTTTATAGTTTTGGAGTGGTTACAATGGAAACAATTATGGGAAGACATCCTGGAGATTTAATATCATCTTTTTCAAAGGCCAACACTGAAATCATTTTGCTAAAGGATGTGTTAGACCCACATGTCCAGCTGCCATCACAAAAAGATGCAAGAGATGTGATTCTTTTGGTCATAATAGCATTAGCATGCTTAAATCCATCTCCCAAATCTCGACCAACAATGCAACAAGTGTCTCAAAGGCTTTTATCCTCCGACTTGCCACTAACCACTCCTTTTAATGATATCTCAATCCAGCATTTACTAAATCAAGATATGCGAATAATCTAGTCTTGATAAATAGCTGAGATTTGGCTTTATGTTTGCTTTGTGCCTTAGATGAAACCTCTAAGGATTTGTCAGTTTTATGTTTGCTTAATGCCTCACATGAAATCTTTAAGCATTTGTCGCAAAGTCTAGATTTGAAGCTTGCCATATGTGTAATCTCTTGCGGCTGATATTTGCCCATCAAAAAACTCTTTGCATGTCAAGTTTGGCATAACCTTATCTTGTTAAAATAATGAGGTATCAAACTGAATTATAAGGAATCTACACATTGAAGCAACCATCAAAATTTGAAGTGGCAAGATATGGAATAAAAACTCAATAATGATTCAATAAACTTATATATAACTAATTAAGTTAAAAATGTCATATTCAAATGAATGCGCAAGCTCTGTTTTTTGTCCCAAAGCGAATGTCCAGTCATGTCAACTCTCCTCTTATTTCTTATTGCGTTCAAAGTAAAATTGATTTTACCAATTACTGAAGTTCCGCAGTAAGATTTAAGTTATATTTTTTGTCAAATCATGCTAGGGTCAAAGAGGGAGTGAATTAGGTGAGTAATAAAATTAATTAAAACTTTTTGCAATGTAGAAAAGAAAGTAGATTATGACTTAATTGTTAAAGGTTTCATATGTATGGTGCAATGCAATCCTGTTTTTTTTTTTAATTTAGAATCTCTTATAGCTTATCCCCTTTTTTTAAAATCCAAAAATGTAAATAATAATAATAATAATGAGAAATTCACACTTGACAGTGATATAATGAGATATCAGAATGTAAATGCTGTAAGTAATGGACCATGCAAATCTTGGCGTGTTAAGAACAGGGGAAAACTCTAACATATTTGAAGCTTTTTTGATGTATTTGAAGCTTTTTTAATGTTTTTGCACAAGAATGTTGATTTCTAGATTTTATAAATCATTTGAGCACATGTAATTTTGAAATCAAAGCTCTTATCTCTTTTTACCAGAGACTCGAAAATAGGAAAAACACGTAAGATATTTACAAACTTCACCCCTTCTTCTCTTCTTGATCCAATTATTACATTTATGAACAACCATTTATAATCCTGCAAAACAATCTTTTTTCTTAATTTTGTTATCATAAAAATAAGTGATATAACATCTTTGAATAAATAAAAAATCAGCCCAGCCACACACCTCTAGATATTAATTAATTACCAGAGTCTCATTTTTTACTCTTCTAGATTTAATAAGACATATTTCATTGATTTATGAGTTTAGATGCTATCCATTAAATTAATTCTTCCCTTCAGACGCTAATCTTTCAACTAAATAAAAAAAAAAAATTAGTTATTTTTTTAAAGTTGGTTGCGTAATCTGTTTTCTCCTAACTATCCGCTAGAACTGCCAGTTGCATGGAAATTGAGAAAACCATTTCAGTGCCCTCCTGACAACCATATTTCATTGAAATTCGAGAGCACTGACTTTTGAAATCCCCAAAATCTGCATCTTTGTCTGTGGACCAGAATTTTGAAAGGGAAAACAGACTTTCATATAATACAACACAAATAATGGTCCTTGTGCACTAGAGTTCCAATTATACACTTCTTGCAACAATCGCAACACGATCAATGGGGGAATCAGGATAGCATAATTAAAAGGGAAGAAAAACAAGCTGCAGAGAAAAATCATATGCCCTGAAGTTCTTGAGTATTATCACTTTCAAATGGGACTTCATTGTAATTCTCATAGATTTTTAAGTATAAAAGACGCTACTTTTTTTCAAGGAGATAGAGATGATGCAAAAATAATCTCATGCAGTAATATTTTTAAGTAAATAGGTACTTAAGTGCTTAAGCTAGCTACCTTATTTCCATCAAAGCCAATGGAAAAAATAAAATATTATCTCTGACCCTTAATATAAGAGCTAATTAGCTAATTTTAGTAAATTAATGAAGTATGTTAAGTTAGTTATTTGTAATAAATAAGTATTTTATTTTCTAAAATAGTCTTGTTAATCATGTATATTAATTAGAACTACCATTTGACATAACCTTTAATATGTACAAGACGTACAACTATTATAAAGACTATTTTGAAAAAAAAAAATGAGATACAAAATAGATTGAAATTTTATATTTATGACCAAATTAAATATCAAACTAGCTTTTATGTTAAGGAGTAGAGATAGTATATATTAAATCACTCCGTTATTGTTGTTGCAATGAGCCACGCCACATAAGTTCTATGTTATGAACTTATCTGCTGGCTCAAGCAATTTTAAATTTAATTTCACTCTTTTTAGCCCAAAATAAAATTAAGTTTAAAAAGAAAATGACCATGCATGTTAACTTTAAAATTTTAACCTCATAAGTGAGTTTGCAAGTCAAAATAAGCATTTTCATGAACAAGATGTGAGCATGAAACTTCACAAATATTGTTCTGTTCTTTCACCAATTTAAATCACTATCGAAATAGACATCAATAAGTAAACCTGGCAATGTTGGCAAAACTGGTCTAGATGCAAGGTCTATTGGTCTCAAATGATGATCATCTTCCAAATTGTCAAGTAGAACAGAGTGATTAGCAAAATTTTGATATGTTCCCGCTCGTTAATGACCAAAAGCTTGCACTTCATTATTATATGTATATATATATAGACACATATAACTTAATGTTTACCCTTGCATAACATCATTGAAATTTAGCAGAAACACTTGCAAAACTTGCACCATTCCTCAGTTGCATCTGTTGTGTATGTAAAAGGGTGTGTCAAAAGTGAAGTCCCACATTGCCCAAGAGAGAGGGAGCTCAAATGTATAAATATTATCACACATTATTGGACTAGTGAATGGGTTAGAGGAGAAGGAGGGTCTTGCACACATAACAACAGCCTACCAGGAGGGAAACGTAGTTGAAAACTAGCGATTCCCCCCTGCGCACAAATTAAAACAATATCGGGCACCTTTTGTAAATCACTTTTGCAAAATTAAATTATGAAATGGTATTAAGTGAGCTTATCGGAAAATCCTTGTTTTGACCATTTATTTTTGTAACAGCCGAAGGTTACTGAACGTTAGGAGTTTTCAAACCGTGATTGATCCTCCATTAATCCTTAAATCATTTTCCATGGATTAATGACTGGTAACGTCTGGAATTTATCTCTTAAACGTACCAATGTTCATAATCGAAGGAATAAACAACGTTTATGGCTGTAACATCTGAAACTGAAATTTTATTACTGTAATCATGGTGCCCAACGTTCAAAAATTTGTGGCCTATATAAAAGAGGTCGAGGCAGAGTGTTCGGTGCACCGCTTGAGTTATCGAGCTCTCTTCCCTCCTTTGCTCTGCTGCTCCCTTTTCCTCTTCTCAGCTTGCTAGGTTATATTTTTCTACTGTTCTGTCACCTTGTTTTCTGCAGGAAGGGTTCGTTTAATCCTTGGGAGTGCTGCAGTCACGTTTACCTACGATGGCAGAATAACTCTTAAGGACAGTATCTACCGGCATGACTCGGACCTAGATGATACACCTCCAGTTTCCTCAACAGCATCTAAGGATTGTTTAATATAAGAAATCATTTGATTTTTATTTTGGTCCTAAATATAAGACCCCAATCCACTTTGTCTCTCATATTTATCTATTTTTCTCAAGGTAGTCCTTACAATAATGATAGTTTTAGCCAATCCACTTGATTAGTAAGGATATTTTTACAAAAATAACAAATATTTATAACAAATAACTAATAGAACTAATTTTTTTAATCTATTCAAATTAGTTAACTAGCTCTTATATTAAAAATTGAAGGTAGTTCTTAAATAAAAAAATTGCAGATTCAAGAAGAGCATGTCATAAAGGAAATGTAGTTTTTGAAGCTTGCTTAATGTTTCTCACAAAATTGTAAGGTTGCACTTATTCTTAATGACAACACAGTCAAAGCTAAAATTTCATTATTTTTGTCTTTGGGAACTGCAAACCAAACATAAAGAAGCAAGTAACCTGGGATGACGGTTGGGCGGCCAAGTTATTGGGCTTTCGATGTCCCAAATACCTTTCCACAACTTTTATTATGATGGCTTGTAGTAAGAACCAGTTCTTGATACTCATCATTGCTGTAAGATTTGTACTTTAAAAATATAATTTTAAGAGTTTAGATTTAAAATTTTTAGCTGATGATTTTTTAAGTAAAAATATTTTTTGAAAAACTAACGTTTAAAAGATTATTTTTATTTTAGATTTTACACACATCAAAATATTAAATTATCAAAAAAAAATTATGTTAAACTTAGACTGTGAAATTTTTGAACGTCCCACATTCCCAAATTGAATCCCTGGTAATACGGGGTCAACCGGTCAATTACATTTACTTATTAATTCTCTAATATGTATTTTGTTTTTGCCATCAAGTCACTAGTTACTCCCTTTAATTTGATTCTTCTTATAAGGTTTTATTAACAATTTTGTATAAGTTAAAAAAATTAGTAAAAATTGGTTAAAGTTTCTAAGATTCCAAAAATTACCTTAAATGATTTAGTTAAAAAAATTTTTTTTAAAAAAAAGTCATCAATGAAGTCAACTCTTTGCATCACACACGTTATGATCATGCACACTCCAATGACTTTGACGTTGACGATGGCTCATCAAAAAGGTCCTTCATAAACGTAGAAAAACAAGTTGAGGAGTTGCGTGGTTTTTGCTACCAAATTATAAGCACCAAAATATATTACTCCCTCTATCCATAATACTCCTCTACTCCTTAACGGATTTAAGAGTTAATGTCTATCTTATATGTAAGACTTATTTCACATTGTTTTTTTAAATTAACCTTCTTGATATTTCCTGAATAATAATAATCAAATAGGAGAGGGAGGGAAAGAATTAAGAAAGATAATTAGAATACTTTAGAATAAAACATATTATATTAACTAAATTAACTAACATCCTTAATCTATCCAAATTAGTTTACTAAGTCTTATATTAAGAACCAAAGAAATATAAAAAGTTAGTAATTAAGTTTTCTCACAAAGTAAAGAAGTTAGTTAA